TGTGTGTCTGTGTGTGTGTGTGTGCTGCATGCTGTGTGTGTGCTGCATGCTGTGTGTGTGTGTGTCTGTGTGTGTGTGTGTGTCTGTGTGTGTGTGTCTGTGTGTGTGTGTCTGTGTGTGTGTGTCTGTGTGTGTGTCTGTGTGTGTGTGTGTGTGTGTGTGTGTGTGTGTGTGTATACTGGTAGGGAGTTGGGAGGCTGAGGCCTTTTGAACAGGCTCTTCTAGGCAACAGTGAGATTTCACCTCAGGATGACAGAAAAACTCCATGGCAGATTTCAGATACCCATCCAAGCTCACTCTTCCTTGGCCAACCTTTCTGGGCTCAGGCCTAGTGGGCGTTCTAAGTCTCTCTCCTGTGTGGAAAGCTCTCTGCATCTCACAGAGGTCAGACGGCTTGCAGAGAACCACAGTCTACGGCCCTGGGCTACCAGGAACTGAAATGAAAAGTGCTTTATTTTGATGTTTGATCCTGAGTGTACGGGAAACTCTGCCCGCATGCCAGGTTGTTTCTGGACCTCGTCTGTGGCCATATACGTGCAAGTTTCTATTGAGAACACTCAGCAGCAACTTCCCATCTCTCCCGGGACAGGAGGGGAGGAGCTTGCACCAATTTGCAACCATGCAGACAGCCGCTGTGTCCACAGACGCTAACGGCTTTTAAATATTAGACAGTTCATCTCAGAGATGGAGAAGCAGAGAGGCCACGCCCCTCCGCAGCAGGCCTCTGGCTCGGTGTTATGTACTCTGGCAGTGTATGGAGTTCGCCTTGTCCTCAGAGATGTCAGAGAGCCCTTTGGGTAGAGCAGCCCTTGGCGGGCAGGCTGGCACTGTCAGGTGTCCGCTGCGCACGTTGGCCTGCACATGCCTTCCAGCCCTCCCTCAGATCCATCCTCGGAACAGAACCCCCTTGCTTGCTTCGCGCTGTCCATGGTTTATTACGTGTGGCTTTGAGCAGGTACCATCAAAATAAAGACATGAGTGACAAGTAGACCTCAAAAGGGCTTTCCAAAAAATGTCATTCCTGTGCGTGCACTGCGTGGCTGGGCAAAGTGCAGCAGCTCTCTGTGAGTTACATTCATGGCTGGTTGTGTTTCAATCGCGCTTTGATCTCCTGGGTGTTCTCTTGCTCTTAGCTTGGTGGCATGTACCTCTCTCAAGCCAAGGCACCCCAAACAAGGCACCAATGTGTTTCACTGAAGCTGTTGGGAGGGGCAGGGCTCCAGTGGGAGCTGGTAGCCAGGCACCTGCAGTGCAGGCTGAGCGGAGCGGTCTCCTTGGAACCCTGTGCTCCAGGATGCCCAGGCCGAGGCATAAGCTGGGCCGTGCCCATCCCTCTGGGCAGTGGCGACTAACCGCAGCCATTCCCTCTCTCTGCATCACCAATAAAAGGCAGGGTCGTGTTCAGACATCTCCAGTGCTGTTGTTGTCGACGGCCAAGTGGAAGTGACTTGGTGTGGCTGCATGGGCAGTGACCTCTCCCTTTCCCTCCAGCGTCTAACTCAAGATACTCACAGACCCTCCTGTCTCTCCCGTTTCCTTTCAGCTAGAGTTTTCTACTGTCCATCTCTATTTGTTGACTTCTGTGATTCATTTGTTGAAGAAACCTGTCACTTTTCTTGTCATCTCCCCCATTTACACTTTGCTGATTATGTTACCATGTTTTTTTAATTTGTCATGGTCTACTGTCCCTTTGTTCTTTGTAAACTGTTGGAGATGTAATTCTTTTTTTTTCTTTTTTTTTGGTCGGTCGTGGGGCTTGAACTCTGGGCCTGGGTGCTGTCCCTCAGCTCTTCAGCTCAAGGCTAGTGCTCTACCCCTTGAGCTACAGCGCCACTTCCGGTTTTATTGGTGATAAGAGTTTCACAGGCTTTCCTGCCTGGGCTGGCTTTGAACTGTGATCCTCAGATCTCAGCCTCCTGAATAGCTAGGATTACAGGCGTGAGCCAACGGCGCCCAGCTAGAGATGTAATTCTAAGGGAGGGAGTAATTATAGCTGGGTACCAAGCACAGAGGATTAGTGGTGGGGATTTGTAGCTGGGTACCGAGCACAGGGGATTTTCTATGGCATTCTAATGTATGTGCTTAAAATTTCACAATAAAACATTTAAAAGATTTCCAAGTTGGACTATTAGGGAACAGAAAGACGGTCCACGGGAGCAGAGGGCGGGCGAGGGTGGGTATGCGAAGGTGTGATCAAACCGCCCATACACACGAACGAACACGTCCTAATGAAACTCGCTGTTTTGTACAATATACTAGAAAGGTGGGGGAAGGGTGGAGAAGACTTACCTTGCTGAATATCCTTCATTTCTAAATGTAAACTAGATATCAAGATTCCCACAGCTTGAGACCGTTTTCCATCCAATAACTTGATGATCTGGAAGTATTTTTAAAAAAATGAAAGTTCAAATAACCACGCAATCTTTCAGAGAGCATACTGAGGACAATACAACTTTCAGATATACTGGTCGACGAACTAACTGGGTGCCACAGTCCTACTCTCCCCATAATACTTCCTTAGAAAGAAGCTTGTCCACAATTAAACACATTATATAATATAAAGGAAAAATATCACAAAGAAACCAACCAGCTTTGTTCCAACAGTTAAAGCCTTTACAGTACCTTATTTTACTGTTTTTTGTTGTTGTTATTTTGTTTTCTGATCCTGGGGCTTGAACTCAGAGTCTAGGCACTGAAGCCCTGAGCTGCTTTTGCCCAAAGCTAGTGCTCTACTGCTTAAGCTACAACTCCACTTCTAGCTTTGTTGGTAATTTATTGGAAATACGAGTCTAACAGACTTCCCTGCCAGGCTGGCTTTGAACTGTGATCCTCAGATCTCAGCCTCCTGCGTGGCTAGGATGATAGGTGTGAGCCACCAGCGCCTGGCTTGATTCCCCCCCCCCCCCGCATTTTGTAGATAGAGTCATACCATGGGGCTCAGGCTGGCCCTGGCTCAGGGTCCCCCTTCTCTGCCTTCCAGGGTTGAGATTACAGGTGTGGATCACCACACCTGGTACTTGGATTTTTTTCAAACACATTATTTTAACCACATTGTACATTAAACTTTAAAGTTATTTTAAAATTATGCTCACAACAGATTCTAACTATGTATAATATAAATTTTAATAATACATGTATATAAAAAGTTTTACAATCTTTAAAAAACTTTACATACTTCATTGCCAATGATCTCCCCCTTTGTGAATGTTCCCTGGAAAAGTATAGCTTTGTCCAAACCTAGTAAACCAAATCCTCCTAAGAAGACTACACAGTTTCCACTAAAGAAAAAAATTTATGTGGAGAGGCTACAAAAAAAATCATCTTTAATGCAGATTGGTGGATAAAATACAAACTAACCTAAGTGGTCACACCTAAGTCTCCACCTAAGTTACTTATAGACTTGCCAAAAAACAGTGAAGATAAGATACAGAGCAGCAGATACCATATCACATTAGTGTCCAGCTAGCTTAAGTTTGCTTGTTGGTTATACAAGTTTATTTTCATCAAGATTATCATTAAATCACATTGATCCTGATTCAATTATCACTAGGGCTTTACCTTTCCTCTTCATGTTTAGAATTCTATTGTCACATAACCATTAGACTTAAAATCTAACAATGACAGATGCTGGTGGGACTCTTCACTTTAGCAGCCCACAGCTGCTTCATACGAATGTCAGTTCTATGTTTAGGCAGAGCCAGAAGACAGCTCCCAAGGTGACTTCATTCTTGGGGAGGAGAGGAGGGGTGCGACTACTCCAGGCTGTTCAGGGAACAGACTTCAAACACATTCAAGGAGAACAGGAGTTATTTATTAAACTTTGCTCATCCAGTGCTCCTCTGCTGAACTGGGTTTTTAAATCATCTTAACCCTCAACAATGAAGAAATCTGCAAACTGTGCTGAACTTATCTCTCTGCCTGCCCCTGGCCCAGACCAGAGTCTGTATATTTCAGTATGGATCTTATTTTAAAATAATGCGCACCTTGAAAAAATATTAAAATTATACTGATACACTGCACATATATTCATAGTCATTTTTTCAAACAAATCACAGTTCACTGTAAACACAGACTAAACTTGTATTCCTATGTCTAGTCTATATCCCCACGATGCCCATTTCTCATCCTTTGGCATCTTTCAAAACCATTCTCTAGTACTAAGAGACTTTTGTCATTGCAGTGTTTTACTTGATGTCCAACTTAGATTCCATCTCCAACCACTTCTTCCTGAGCTCAGGGGAAGGTTGAAAACAGCTGGCCTCCATCCCTCCACAAACTTCAAATTGCTCTTCACAAGAGATGCTTTATATTAAATACCAAAAAGTCTGTGTTTGAGGAATGTTTAGCAAGCCCTTGGTTTATCTCAGGCCTTTCTGGAATCAGCTAAACTTGACAGTACATGGGCTTCTCCTAGGTGTAATTACATTCTGGGGGAGAAGGCAATCTGGGCAGAGTTCTACTGACCTACAAGCTGACCTTGTGCAGGGGCAAATTCACAGGCTGCGTTAAACCCTATTAGACATGCTTAGTTTAAGGCAAAGCCTTTCCAGACCCCTGCCACATGCCAGGATCAGGGTCCCTCACACATGCCTCTACTGCATTGCCTAAGGAACCTTCCAGAGCAGAGCAGGGCGGTGGGGGAGGGGGAAGGCAGGCACACTGCCTAAACATGTACCTTGAAACAGTGGATACCATCATTATTATTTCTCACATATGTGGATTTATATCTGCCTCTCTGAATAAGAATTAAAGCAAGAATAGGAAGACGTTTGCTATACTGGAAAAAACCACACCCTGACCACTCAGCTAAATAATTCTTGCCAGATAGTTAGAGAAAGACTTCTTGCCAGGCCCATGGAGATTTTGTATCTATGGAAAATCCATATATATTCATTCTTCAGCTTTCTGCACTGGGAAGACAAGGCCAAAAGCAAAAATAAAAATAAATGGCTCTGAATAACCACAAATGGCGGAAGCATGCTCAGTGGAGTGAGTTGGCACAATTGAGAGCAGCAGTGCGGGCTTCTTCCTCAGCCTTTCCTGGCTGAATTCTGAAGGTTAATTTCCAGACATCGAACGCACCCACATTTATACCAAGGCAAGCAGACGATTCACTCCTCAGCTTCACTCTATCCCAGCTCCCTCAGCTCCAGACATGAGATTCTTTTAACCTCCAGTGGCCTGTTTTATATAGACCCGGGGAGCAGGCATCTTGTCTACTTAAACACAGCCACGTGCACTAACATCATGAACATGCTTTGATTACTTCTGGAAAACAAGTGTGTCAAAGTGCTGCCTTTTCTGGGTGAATCAATTGCACACCTCACCCCTGTGCTCCATGTTTGTGAGTGGACATTAGCTTCCACAGAAATGATGTATGTCAGATACCCCTTGAGTACACTCTCAGCTATGCAGAAAAAAATGGTCGCATGGTTTGCCTCTCCATACGAGTGGACAACATGGTAGAGAATACACAGAAAATAGGTCACCTAACTCTCCCAAAGTAAAATTCTAAAAAATAAAATAAAAAGGAGTTACGTTTCCTGTGCTTTCAGACAGTGGTATCTTTCGCTTATGTATCACGTCAGCACACACGAAATTCTACTCCTTGGAAAAATTATGGGCAATAAGAGGCTGGCGCCAAGCACGTGCATTACAGAGAAGCCAGCTCTTCTCACGGACAGTGATCTTCCACAACTCTAAGCTGAGGCCACCAAGTGGACCAAAGTGTTCTGGTTGTTGTTACTGAGGAGTTAAAGCAGGATCTCATTACATGGAGCTCAGCCAGCCTCCAACTCTCTCTCCTCCTGCCTCCAATGCCAAAGGGCTGGGATACGAGCTGGGCCATTACTTCTGGCTGCATTTATCGTTAAGACATTGAGGATTGGGGTTGAAAGTGAGCTAGAATCCTATGTTAGGGATGCAGAAGCCAGTGTACTGTCCAAAGGGCAGCAAACTGACCATCAACCTGATGCTTCCCTCTAGTCACTCTCCAGTCATGAACACAAATCAGCAAGGGGTCTCAGCTGGGGCTGGACTGGAGGCCAGCATCTTGGGATGATAAGGGAAGGGATAAAGAGCATCCTTAGATTTTGTGTTTATACTCAGTCATTTATTCTTGATAGAAAATTTTTGCCTTTCAAATAATAAAAAAATCTAATTTGCAAAAACAGAATTGAGAAATTACCAAAGGAAACAATTTACAAGTGATACAGGGTACGAAGTCGTGAGATGTGGTGGCTTGTGAGTACAGGCCTTGCAGTGCATGCACACACATGCACATGAATACACACACCAGTGCACACACAAGGACACACTGCAGGCACAAAAATGTGTGCACACATAAGGCACAAATGACACATGAACAACACAGGTGTACGTATGCACATGCAAACACACAGCATGTACACACAAACACAAATAAAAATGCACACACATCTGCATATGCATTGTGCATGCAAAACCATACATGCACACGCACCTATACAAAACACACAAGCATTCATATTTATGTACATGTTCACAGAAAAACACATACACATGCACATACACCCCAAGAAACACACATACACATGAATGCACATACATGTACATACTTATGCACAGACAAGCACACATGTACACAGATATATACTAGTATACATGTGATGTGTAGACACAATAAATGGAAATGAATGCAAACAGACACAAAGCACACACATGCACTACACATGTGCACACACATGTGCACATATACAAGTACACATTTGCAGATGCATACAAAGGCATACACACAGATGCAGACGTACACACAACACACTCATACACATTTACACATGAACACATTTATAAATATGCATTTCTACACAAGTACACACTCTCATTTAATTACACGCGGATACTTGTATGAACCTGCCCATGTGTGAACCCAGCACGGTTATATACCTGTAAACATGCCCATATGTATGTGTGCACACATGTGCACATAGCACTCATGCACAACTCACATGTGTGCAAACGCACACCATGAACCAAACACATTCACATGTACACAAATGCACACACATGCATGCACAGTGCACGCACACAGGTGCACACGAACACGCTGCCACAAGTGAAGCATATACATGTGCACATGTATGTGTACGTGCAGAGACCCAGCCATGCGTGCACACATAAGCACACACACACAGGCGTGCGTATCCACACGTACACACGGCTGTCCAGTGTGGCAGTGACGAGCGGGAGGTAGGCAGGCAGCGCTCCTCCAGGTCTGAGCCGTGGAGGAGCTATGGAGGGTGGGGCTCTGCTCTCTCCTCAGGGAGAACAAACACTTCCTTGGGCACATGCAATTGCTCGTTGGCAGGCACCCAGACAAACAACAGACTCCGGCCCCCG